TTTGTGTTTTGGGGTGCTTAGGGATTCTGTTTTTGTGTATTTGACTATCCATTAATGCTAATTTTTTTTTTTTTTTTAAATAGATTCACCCAGCTTTTTGAATTTTGAACTTTCCATTCCAAGTTTTAAGATATATTTATTAAGTTACTTTGCCCATTTTCGGTTAAAGTATTTATATGGCAGAAATTTATTGAAATTTAGGAAATTCTTACTTAACATGACTGTCTTATTTGATAAAGAGAATGCACAAACCTTCAAACGAAATTAAGTAAATTTACAGAACAAATATATATATTTAAAGGATTTCAATATCATAATACGAAAGTTGAGCTACTGACAATAGTAGAGACTGCTAGGACTGTGCAGACGACAAAAGCCTGTCACTTTCAGTGCCAATTGATTCAAGGTTAAGTTTGGATTTCAAATATAAATCATTTATCAAATACTTAGTATTTTGTGCGTGTTAAAAGCATTATGAATATTTAATTAGACAGTTGGCTCACAAGTTCATTGACCCAGAAGAAGGTAAAGTGGATGAAAGTTTTAAACTTCTATCAACAAGAATGGATCGTGTTTATAAAGCAGTGGCAGATGCTGAAGTAGAAAAAGTAAAAGAAGTCCTTCCACCTCATTATAGATATCTCGAGGACGTAAGTGAAATTGTTATACATTACCATCCTTAAAGCAGCACGCCTCCAGATTCACGCTAATTTTTCATGAAAATTTTTAAAATGTATTTTAATGTATAATATTATGAAATAACCAAAAGGAAACAATTTACAACCCACGTAAATTATCAAAAAGTGGTCAAAATATGCATAAATAGCTCTTACTGTGTTAGTAACGCAGTAGAAATATAGTTGTAAATACTAAAAAATCAGTCATTTACCGCACATAACATGTAAAATATTACTTGAATCTTGAATCATTTTACTTTTCCTAAAATCTTAGTACAAATGTCTTAAGTTTGATTTTATTGAAATTCTTTGACTCATCTGGAGGCATGCAGCTTTAATATCTTAAATGGACTTGCCCATCATTAAATCTTGATAAAACCATTCATCAATTTTAGGGGAAATTTTAAAATACATATCGACAGAATTGCCAGTATCAGATCATATTCAAATGGCACTGTTAGAATAGGTAAAATCTATTGCTGACAGTAAAAACCCTTCTACCTGTTGTCCTGCCAAGTTCTTTGCATATTTCCATGGAGTGGGGTGGTTAGGGGAAGCTATCCAGGTGGTTTATGGAAGGTCAGAGGTTCTACTTTGATGCAAACTTATACCAGAATTAATGCATGGATGGGCACCTGAGGTCTTCCTCCGCCAGTAAACCTAATAATAAAATATATATTGGAAATGTTATTTATAACATACATGTATTATGTCTTTCAGGATCTAACATGTCTTTTGATGACTAAAATGATGTTGGTATATGTTTCAGGAAAATTTCAAAGTAAAGAAAATACGAAGACTGTCACAGCCCATTGTCTCACCGTCTACAAGGTTTGCTTATTATTTATATGTCCTATCCCTCTGTAGACACAAGAAAATGTATTTTTTATTGAGTACTTCTGCAGTTTTTATTTTATTTTAAAACCATTTGGGGTCCTGGTTGTCTAGTCAAGTGTGAACAATTTTCTGAAAACCACTGTTGATTTGAAGGTAGCTTTTGAAACTACAAATTTATTGGATCAAGTGGTGGTGTTGGTAGTTTTCAGTCCAGATCATGGCAGTAAGCCACATTGAATTTACAAGAGCTTAGTTCAACCATCGCATCTGTCCCGGGCAGGCTATTAAGTGGTTTGCCAGTATTATTTGCCTCCATTTTTGCAAGGAACTGAAACTTCTGTAAATGCCAAAGCAGAGGTACAGTAGGAATGACCGTAGAAAAGATTTCATGATCAATCACAAGGAAAGTGGCATGCACCGTCAGGGAATCGAACCTGGGTCGCCCAATTAATAGTCCAACCCTGTACCTTAAGCAAACTGGACGGCTTTTATTGAATGAAGACAAGAGTTTAGGAATTTTGTATGTATCCACCAACATTAGCCAGTGTTCCTCTACAAGTTATATGAGTAGCAAAGCCTAGTGAAGCCCTACTCCTATATGAATCATAGTCTTAGGGTAAAAATTTGACCTTGTTAAAATGTGACCAATTGACTTCTGCTTAGAAAAATTTGGAGTGTTTCTCGCTATAGATTTCAGATGAGCGATGTAAGGCCATCATGACCCTCTCGTTTAATGATTTATCTAATTTGTTGCTTACTTTGCAGAATGTTAAATAGTGCTTTAGATGAGAAGAAAGCTGTATTAAAACCTATCCCACCATCACTAGAGAGGCAGTCAACACTGAATGGAATAAAGGAAGGTTAGTCAATCTAAACATATACCTGGTGACATACATGTTTATTCATTTCAGGGTGTACTTTTCTGGATTTTGTTTACATTATGGAACAAGTGTGTTAGTGGATCTTATCTAGAATCATTTATAAAATTTCATTCTACTGAGAAAAAATGAGCCACGTCACTACAAAACCAACATAAAGGGTTTGCGACCAGCATAGAGAAACTGATAGCGAACAGCATGGATCCTGAACAGACTGCGCAGATGCGCAGGCTGGTCTGGATCCATCCATGCTGGTCCATTATGTTGATTTTGTCGTGACGCGGCTCAAATAATTCTACTGGGAAAATTTCATTATACCAAGAGGTCTTAACATTTTGTGTGCTAGAAGAAATATCAGGTCTAGGACACATGTACCAAGTTAAATCAATGCACACATTGTTACTTTAGTGCAGAGGAAGGTAGTCTAGTACTGGTGTAACTCTCCAGGAACGATGTTTAGGAAACTAAACGCCTATATGACTGAAATACTGTTGGGAAAAGGCGTAAAATGAAACAAACAAACAAACAAAAACCTTAGTGCGCTAATGGGTTAACTTCTTATATAATTTTATAGGAATTAACCCATTACTGAACTAAGGTGACAACATCTTGACCATCTAAAAAGACCCTTTACTGTCGATTACACTAACTTAGAATGTAGTATTTTACATTGATATATCCAGTAATGGTAAGGTTACAGATAAGTACAAGGTAGGACAAAGGGAGATAATAATAATCACTTGTTAGGAATAAATATTTTTTAACATGCTTTGTAAACTTTATTTTCAGTGCCAGTGAATCCAGTTATAATAGATCCAAAAACCAAGAAGTTACACGCCATCAATCCATTGAAATATTTCCCTTTTATGTCACAACAATTTGTGAGTATAATGATTATTTTATATTTTAATCAACAATAACATTTTTTTTAAGCATTAAACACCTGACAGAAGCATATAGCCAATAATTAAAAATTGATGTCAAGTGGTGATTACCTGCCAAGTTAATAATCTTACCAAAGTTTCATGCATAGCTAATAAAGTAGGATTTACGAAAAGATTTTACTTTATGAGATATACTGCTATTACAATATACATATATTATATTATTACAGCAATAGATATATCTTTTGATCTTTGTGTATTCATATTTATTTTTCAAAATTCATACATGTATTTATTCAAATTATGTCAAAACATTGTATACGCAAATTATTGTATAAAACATTAATAGCTATTTTATTTTATCACAATATTACAATGTACTTGTACCTCTTTTGTGACCCTGTAAAAATGGTTTAGCCATGCATATATTTCAAAACTTTCAATCATCTAGACAAGTTTGATTGGGTAGTTATTTTTTCCGAAGGAAACTTTAATTATGTTATATTGTAAATTTACCATTTCAGTTAAAAGATCAGTATGAAAAATTTAAACAATATGACATAAATGGTGACGGAACACTAGACTTAAAAGAGGTACTAACTTCTTTTCTTTATATAATTTATTTATCCTGTTAGTACATTTTGATCAAATTTTATTCAATTCTACATGTGACAAAATTGACAATAATGACATGCCCTCACCATAAACATAAAATAGGATACTTTTATTCTACTTCTTAGGAGTGACATGGTGTTTTATGTGTAGACTCTAAATGAAAGTGGCATTTTATGTTTTGGATTTCTCAAATAATAGTAATAACATTTTATTTTTTGGCAAAATTTAATAATAGTACTAATTAGTATAAAAACATGTTTTTTTGTTTATTTGAAAGTAGTTTTTACAAAATTGTTACTGTATGTTATGTATGTCATGGAAAAACCGTGTAATTGGCATTATATATTCTGGCTAAATGAAACAGTTTTGTTTATTTAAAAGTAGTTCTAACTTAACAAAATTATAACTGTATGTTACATGTTATGGGCATACTGCGGAATGGGCATTTTATAGTTTAGCTAAATGAATCTGCTACTGATATACTAACTGTTCTATAATTGTATTTTGATGTAGATGATAGAGATAGTAAAGGAGTTAGGATTTGACTTTAACGTTCATCAGCTACAGGAAGCTATGGAAGAGGTTGACCGTGACGGCAATCATTGTATTGACTTCTTCGAATACATGCTCATCATCGATAACATCTACCGGAAAAGAGGTAACTTTAACTTTACTGACATCCTGAAAACACTGTTGCTTCTGTTGTTTAATCACATATATGTGTCAATTTTGTGACTCCGTAAAAATGGTTGTGCATATATTTTGATGTGATGTCATTTGCGTTATACAAACATAGTGTAAATGTTAGCATTACACTACAGACAAGTCATTGAAAAAATATTCTGTAAACACTCTTTAATTTGGACATGTGATAAATAGAATATTATATTCGTGTAAGTTCAATACTGAATTTATTGAACTCATTGACTAATTTAATAACATTATGCTCGCCAGAGGCTTGCATAATATAACTATTTAACTCATTCAATACAGTATTGAACTTAAACTCATTCAATATCCTCTATATAGGACTATCTGATGATGATTATTAACCCTTTACCACATATATACGCGAAACAACGCACTTTCGACCCCCCCCCCCTTTTTTTAGGCCTCAAATAGTAAAAAAATGTCCTATTTTGGCCCGCAACATAAGTTTTCGTTTGAGAAATGTTGCTAAAAAAATTGAGCACTTTTTCGGCGCCGCCCCCCATCCAAAAGATACATCAGGGGGTTGCCAGAAGGGGGATGTGCCCCCTTCTGTTAGGGGGGTTTGCAGGGGGGCGGAGTCCCCCTCATCGCCAAGAAAATTTTGGACTTGTGAGAGGCTAAAAATGACCCCAGGTCGATCATAATGTAACGTTTAACAAACGCTGAAAAGCCTTTGACTCTATCTCAATCCCTTGAGCAGTTACAGCACTTTGAAATAAATTTTGATGGAAAAAATCGAGGCAAAATAGTGATTTTTGGCAATTTTGAGATGTCCCCTCGTTGCCATGGTAACAGGAAATTTAAGACTGAGCATGTCGTTACAAAGGCAATGGTCCAGTCAACATTGGTGCCAAGTTTGATTAGTATTGAAGCATTTTTCATAGTTTCATAGCAGTTTGAACTTGTAACAGGAGGCTTTTCAGTGAAAACGGCCATTTTTCACAATATGCTCATGGGGGAAAGGGTTAACTAAAAAAATTATAAATCTTACAAAACAACAATTTTTCACCAAAATTAGGTGAAAGACCACATGTGAACATGGAAAAACTAGTTTTTAGGTGATTCCAAAGTTTTTCATCATTTTTTGTTAACCCTTTACCACATATATACGCGAAACAACGCACTTTCGACCCCCCCCCCTTTTTTTAGGCCTCAAATAGTAAAAAAATGTCCTATTTTGGCCCGCAACATAAGTTTTCCTTTGAGAAATGTTGCTAAAAAAATTGAGCACTTTTTCGGCGCCGCCCCCCATCCAAAAGATACATCAGGGGGTTGCCAGAAGGGGGATGTGCCCCCTTCTGTTAGGGGGGTTTGCAGGGGGGCGGAGTCCCCCTCATCGCCAAGAAAATTTTGGACTTGTGAGAGGCTAAAAATGACCCCAGGTCGATCATAATGTAACGTTTAACAAACGCTGAAAAGCCTTTGACTCTATCTCAATCCCTTGAGCAGTTACAGCACTTTGAAATAAATTTTGATGGAAAAAATCGAGGCAAAATAGTGATTTTTGGCAATTTTGAGATGTCCCCTCGTTGCCATGGTAACAGGAAATTTAAGACTGAGCATGTCGTTACAAAGGCAATGGTCCAGTCAACATTGGTGCCAAGTTTGATTAGTATTGAAGCATTTTTCATAGTTTCATAGCAGTTTGAACTTGTAACAGGAGGCTTTTCAGTGAAAACGGCCATTTTTTCACAATATGCTCATGGGGGAAAGGGTTAACTAAAAAAATTATAAATCTTACAAAACAACAATTTTTCACCAAAATTAGGTGAAAGACCACATGTGAACATGGAAAAACTAGTTTTTAGGTGATTCCAAAGTTTTTCATCATTTTTTGTTAACCCTTTACCACATATATACGCGAAACAACGCACTTTCGACCCCCCCCCCTTTTTTTAGGCCTCAAATAGTAAAAAAATGTCCTATTTTGGCCCGCAACATAAGTTTTCGTTTGAGAAATGTTGCTAAAAAAATTGAGCACTTTTTCGGCGCCGCCCCCCATCCAAAAGATACATCAGGGGGTTGCCAGAAGGGGGATGTGCCCCCTTCTGTTAGGGGTGTTTGAAGGGGGGCGGAGTCCCCCTCATCGCCAAGAAAATTTTGGACTTGTGAGAGGCTAAAAATGACCCCAGGTCGATCATAATGTAACGTTTAACAAACGCTGAAAAGCCTTTGACTCTATCTCAATCCCTTGAGCAGTTACAGCACTTTGAAATAAATTTTGATGGAAAAAATCGAGGCAAAATAGTGATTTTTGGCAATTTTGAGATGTCCCCTCGTTGCCATGGTAACAGGAAATTTAAGACTGAGCATGTCGTTACAAAGGCAATGGTCCAGTCAACATTGGTGCCAAGTTTGATTAGTATTGAAGCATTTTTCATAGTTTCATAGCAGTTTGAACTTGTAACAGGAGGCTTTTCAGTGAAAACGGCCATTTTTCACAATATGCTCATGGGGGAAAGGGTTAACTAAAAAAATTATAAATCTTACAAAACAACAATTTTTCACCAAAATTAGGTGAAAGACCACATGTGAACATGGAAAAACTAGTTTTTAGGTGATTCTAAAGTTTTTCATCATTTTTTGTTAACCCTTTACCACATATATACGCGAAACAACGCACTTTCGACCCCCCCCTTTTTTTAGGCCTCAAATAGTAAAAAAATGTCCTATTTGGGCCCCCAACATAAGTTTTCGTTTGAGAAATGTTGCTAAAAAAATTGAGCACTTTTTCGGCGCCGCCCCCCATCCAAAAGATACATCAGGGGGTTGCCAGAAGGGGGATGTGCCCCCTTCTGTTAGGGGGGTTTGAAGGGGGGCGGAGTCCCCCTCATCGCCAAGAAAATTTTGGACTTGTGAGAGGCTAAAAATGACCCCAGGTCGATCATAATGTAACGTTTAACAAACGCTGAAAAGCCTTTGACTCTATCTCAATCCCTTGAGCAGTTACAGCACTTTGAAATAAATTTTGATGGAAAAAATCGAGGCAAAATAGTGATTTTTGGCAATTTTGAGATGTCCCCTCGTTGCCATGGTAACAGGAAATTTAAGACTGAGCATGTCGTTACAAAGGCAATGGTCCAGTCAACATTGGTGCCAAGTTTGATTAGTATTGAAGCATTTTTCATAGTTTCATAGCAGTTTGAACTTGTAACAGGAGGCTTTTCAGTGAAAACGGCCATTTTTCACAATATGCTCATGGGGGAAAGGGTTAACTAAAAAAATTATAAATCTTACAAAACAACAATTTTTCACCAAAATTAGGTGAAAGACCACATGTGAACATGGAAAAACTAGTTTTTAGGTGATTCCAAAGTTTTTCATCATTTTTTGTTAACCCTTTACCACATATATACGCGAAACAACGCACTTTCGACCCCCCCCCCTTTTTTTAGGCCTCAAATAGTAAAAAAATGTCCTATTTTGGCCCGCAACATAAGTTTTCGTTTGAGAAATGTTGCTAAAAAAATTGAGCACTTTTTCGGCGCCGCCCCCCATCCAAAAGATACATCAGGGGGTTGCCATAAGGGGGATGTGCCCCCTTCTGTTAGGGGGGTTTGCAGGGGGGCGGAGTCCCCCTCATCGCCAAGAAAATTTTGGACTTGTGAGAGGCTAAAAATGACCCCAGGTCGATCATAATGTAACGTTTAACAAACGCTGAAAAGCCTTTGACTCTATCTCAATCCCTTGAGCAGTTACAGCACTTTGAAATAAATTTTGATGGAAAAAATCGAGGCAAAATAGTGATTTTTGGCAATTTTGAGATGTCCCCTCGTTGCCATGGTAACAGGAAATTTAAGACTGAGCATGTCGTTACAAAGGCAATGGTCCAGTCAACATTGGTGCCAAGTTTGATTAGTATTGAAGCATTTTTCATAGTTTCATAGCAGTTTGAACTTGTAACAGGAGGCTTTTCAGTGAAAACGGCCATTTTTCACAATATGCTCATGGGGGAAAGGGTTAACTAAAAAAATTATAAATCTTACAAAACAACAATTTTTCACCAAAATTAGGTGAAAGACCACATGTGAACATGGAAAAACTAGTTTTTAGGTGATTCCAAAGTTTTTCATCATTTTTTGTTAACCCTTTACCACATATATACGCGAAACAACGCACTTTCGACCCCCCCCCCCTTTTTTTAGGCCTCAAATAGTAAAAAAATGTCCTATTTTGGCCCGCAACATAAGTTTTCGTTTGAGAAATGTTGCTAAAAAAATTGAGCACTTTTTCGGCGCCGCCCCCCATCCAAAAGATACATCAGGGGGTTGCCAGAAGGGGGATGTGCCCCCTTCTGTTAGGGGTGTTTGAAGGGGGGCGGAGTCCCCCTCATCGCCAAGAAAATTTTGGACTTGTGAGAGGCTAAAAATGACCCCAGGTCGATCATAATGTAACGTTTAACAAACGCTGAAAAGCCTTTGACTCTATCTCAATCCCTTGAGCAGTTACAGCACTTTGAAATAAATTTTGATGGAAAAAATCGAGGCAAAATAGTGATTTTTGGCAATTTTGAGATGTCCCCTCGTTGCCATGGTAACAGGAAATTTAAGACTGAGCATGTCGTTACAAAGGCAATGGTCCAGTCAACATTGGTGCCAAGTTTGATTAGTATTGAAGCATTTTTCATAGTTTTCATAGCAGTTTGAACTTGTAACACAGGAGGCTTTTCAGTGAAAACGGCCATTTTTCACAATATGCTCATGGGGGAAAGGGTTAACTAATATATAGTAATATCATGCAGTAAAATCAAACATTTCTGCATTTTTGGAATCAGTTTCTCACGTGAAAAAAAAAAGAAAGTGCATATTTTTGAAGTTTCACTCATGATAATCCAAATTGTTAAGCATTTACTTTGAATGAACCATGAACATTTTTTATCCACTGTAAATGCTAAACTTAGGTTCAACATTAATATCTGACATTTACATTGTTTACCTTCTAAGTGCTTTGTGTACAGGAAGTAAATATGGCAAACCATCAGCAACAGGAATGTCTGTACATATGTGTCCTTTTCTATAACATATGGCACAAGTTATGATTTGTAAGGAAAATTTTTCTAACACAATATTTGGCCAATATAATAGGGCAAAAGCATTGTTAATTCTGATATGTTTGACACATTGTTTTATACTCAATCTAAAAAGCCTATGCTCTTAAACTGTGATACTTGTATTGTAGATTCGAATTTATTAGCATACTTGTGCCACTTTAGCCGATTCCGTAAAAATGGTATTACACGGTTGTGTTTTCCTGACAATTATTTAAAATAACTTAAAAAAAAAAAAAAAAAAAAAAAAAAAAAAAAAAAAAAAAAAAAAAAAAAAAAAAATAATTTGTTGTTACTTTTTTGCTTTATTCAAAATTTGTGGAAAATAGATTCGCAACTTGATACCTAAATACCATGTTGTCAATAAACATAAAAATATTACATCAAAATGTCTATAGTAATTAATATACCTTACTTGGAATGATATTTGTCAGTTTATAGATATCAGTTCATGTTGACCCATGCTAATGTTGAAATTTAATTGGTTTATTCAAAGTTACATTCCAGATGAATGAAAACTCAAGTCAGTCTGGATAAATCACTCTGTGATTATATTACATAGCATTTCAACACTTGACCACATATAAACTGTTGCTTTTCTTAATAGCTTTCGACATTTAAGTCTTCTTCAGAAAATTATTGATAATTGATGTTTATAAAAGCAACATTTCTAAACACTTGACCATAAAAAAAATAACAAAACTGTGCAAATTGGTGCTTACTATGAATTGTATTTGATTAGCCTTTTTGCAGTCAGAACTGTAATTCTTTAACTTATTTAGTATATTCCCCTTGAACATTTCTTATGAATTACAGAGTATATCCAAAATGTTGTGCTCACTTTAATTTTACAGTCAAAACCTGTGTTAAAAAACCACCTTTGAATATAGATAACCCTGCAAATTAAAGGCCACATTTTGATAACCCTTCACTTAATAAAATGTGATAATGTAACCTCCGTATTATGTCCACTTATCTATAAAGATCATTATTTGAGCAGCGTCATGACAAAAACCAACATAATGGGTTGCGACCAGCATGGATCCAGACCAGCCTGCGCATCCGCGCAGTCTGATCAGGATCCATGCTGTTCGCTTACCAACTCAATTACAAGTAGAGAAACTGATAGCGAACAGCATGGATCCCTGATCAACTGCGCAGGCTGGTCTGGATCCATGCTGGTCGCAAACCCATTATGTTGGTTTTGCTTGTGACGCGGGCTCATTTGTCTCCCCCCCTGGCTGGTCTTTCTTCACAGGTTGGACAATTTGACAGCTTTTTTATCATTCCTTACATTTTTTTGTGCTAAAGGTAATATTCATAGATCATTTACATCATTTATTTATATTATACATGAAATTGTTCATATTTACATGAAATTGTTCATATTTAAATTGAAATTGTTCATATTTACATAAAATTGTTTTATATTTATATTGAAATTGTTTCATATTTACATGAAATTGTTCATATTTTACATGAAACTTGTTCATCATTTACATGAAACTTGTGCCTTGTTTGAAGAATCTGTCTATATCAACCACTGTGATATCTAGTTTTTTGTCGAATACAATTTTTTAATGAACTAATTGTTTGTTGTGTTTGTAAATTTCAACAAAACCAAAACTTATAAAACAGGAAAGGAGATTATTTAACATGTTCAATGTTTTGTACATGTAGTTGTTATTCTTCAAAAACAGTCACTGTACTATGGTAGAATTATATCTTTTTAAGAAATGATTTTTTTTACAGAGATTACATAGTATGAATACATAGATACTGTGTCAGTTGGCATTATTTTGATTTCTTTGATAACAATAACATAACACGATAGGCCCATGACCCTTCACCAGAGAGGGTTTAAATCCTGTCCTGGAGTTTTGATTGTTTCATGTGAGGAAGCTTTACAGCAAGCTTACAAAAGGTTGGTTGTTGTACTTGGGTGCCTACTCTTTGTCTGAATTAATGCAGGAAGAGACACTGAAAGTCTTGTTCACCAAGAAAGCTGGAGAAGTTGCCATTTGACTTCTACAGTGTTGGTTTGACTGAAAATCCAACAAAACAAATAAGGCATGCTTGTTGGATGGGTCCAACATGGAAGATATTTATGTCTTGAATTTCTTTTTTTGGTCAAGTTCCATACGTCACATCCAGGCAGTAAAGGTCATATGGTGACTATCAAATTTAAATGGTGGAGGGATACCTCAGTCTTTGAACTCTAACCTTAGTTTAAGCTAGACTGAAAACTTTCTCTATAGCAAAATTCGAAGTCTGTGGCTGGATTCAAACAGACAGCAATAAAGAAAGTTATTCAAAGCCAACAACCTTAATCACATGGACACAGGGGACTGTTGTGTGTTCAAAACCTATCTAAAGTCTAGATAATGAAATTTGAAATTGTAAAAATGCCTTTGGATAAGTTCATTTCACTGCAATAGTGCTCACTTGCAGAATAATTCATAGGCCAACAGCATGAATGTTTCTACTTACTCCTTTATTTCTATTATGGTATTTTTTGTCCAAGATGACATTAAAATATAATATTAGATGTGACATAAAACTATATATGATAATCAAGGTATTGAAGTATTTGCTAATAAGTGGAGAAAATGTAAAGGCGGCTGGAAAGCTCCGTCAGTAGAGCCTCGGAATGATATTCCCGGGTTCAAGTCCCAATCAGGCAACACATATTCTCACAGTCACCCTGTGACATGATAAAAGAAGTACACAACATGTCTTTACAAAACATTTTATTTATTCTCAGCTGACATTTATTCTACTTTAAAATGAAGCAAAATATTCAAATACAACAGTTAATTTATTACCTCCCTTTAATAATTTCTTCTCTAGATCAATATATAACCGTCAATTATCAGTCATTTGAATGGTACAAATAGATTCTCTTTTTAACTTTCAGTTTGAAATGCCAGAAATATATCTATTGCTCAAGGGTTGTATTGATCAAGTTGGTTTTTTTCCTGTACCTGTTTACCTGTTAAAAGTAACTAATCAAGGGAAGTAACTGATGACTGCAAATAATTTTGCCAAAAAAAATGGAAGACAAATGGTGTTGTTATGGCAACGGTTGCCATTATAAAATCAACTCCGTACACATTTGATTACACATATGTCTAGCATAATACTACAACCACTTTGAATATTAAAGTGATATTTTTAGGAATCTTAAAACTAAATTAATGAAATTGTTTCTATACAAAAACAAAAACAAATTTACCCACAGAAATGTATTCATATTAATACAATGCAGATGAGAAAATGTATGGATTTTGTTTTTATATATAATTAAAGAGTTCTTTCCATACTTTGAAGAATAATTTATTAATATGTGATGTTTTAAAACTTAAACTAGGACAAAAATTGAGGCCTAAATTTTAGGACAATCAAGTTTTTCAAGAATTGCAAAAGTTTATCAAGAGGCGTTTAACAGAACATCAAAGCTTTTTATATAAAACACTCATTTACACACACTCACAGTCTTCTAAACGATTCATATAACCATGTGTAGCAAAATTATGTACATATCAGGCACATGTGTTTGCATAGAAAATGAAGGCACTGTTAACATAATAAGATTAATCCAACGTTATAGTAAATATTTCTTGGAAATAAGAATGTAGCGATACTTCAATGTTAAAATATTCTATTTTTGATTTTTGTCTCAACATTGTATTCCTCCCAAAGAGGAAGTCTGTGTCTGTGCTTGATTCATGTAGTAAATAAGACTGTCTTGATTGGAAATGATTGAATAATAACAATGTTTCTAATATTTTGACCAGCTCTTAACGGGTGTGTACCGAATTAATACTACTTTGGTTACAAAGGTTGTCTTTGGGAGGAATACGGTACCTTCTTCCATGAATAATGTTGTAAAGAATTGTATGATTAATTTCAAAAGTCTGTATAGAAAAGTCATGCAAAGAAAAGCTCGACGCTATGCCAGTTTTGTACATGGGTTTTGTACATATCGGGCAGTATTGACTAGAAGACACTCAACCATGGTTCAACTTTCAAGCATAATGCATAAAGCATCATTTTGGTAATAGCACCATATGAAATCAGTATATAAAAAATGCTAACTATACACATGTATTTTTCAAATAAAGTCTATAATACAATGAAACACATACAGAACAAAAAAAAATACAGTATATCCCTTAAAATAAAGAGATAAATACTTGAATCACAATGGAAGATGTAAATTAAACATACATGACTGAATTCTCAAATTAAACTAATGAAAATGTCTATGAAAGAGTACAAAATTATCAAATTCTCTTTTCTCTCAGAAGCTTTACACAAATTTTCAAGCCTTTATGGTAATATGAATATGGTTGTAGAGACGCTTTACCTAGAAAATCTCATACACACTTGAACAACGACTTATTCTCATTCTAAGATTTCCCGCTTTAAAGAGTTTCTGCTAAAAGGAGTTCTAATTGAGCGTTACTATTATAGTCGCTAGCCAGTGTAACTCGTTGACGTGGAGTAATAGTTGCACGATCCACGTCCGTGACATTCTATCAGAGGAGTGGCAACGGAAATCTTCGAGACAGGAACCAACCGATGCGAGATCGGTACCAGCTCCATCCCCACCAGCACCGGTTCCCTGCAAGAAAGAATCAATTACAAATAAATGAAACAAACAAATATATGAAATAAAAATCTAAATGATATCAAATGATAGAGAAAAGGAACAAAATGTATGTTAAACAATCAGAACTCATTATTTCTAGCGACGGTTAATGTTTAAAAAATCAATAATTAAATCTTAAAAGTAAAATATATAACAAAATTTTTTAAATCATTTAAGATTATCTAAATTTACAAATTTTCTTTTGAATTATATAATACTTATAGAAGATTATTTGTGTATCTTAGACTGTATTAATTCATTGAACAATTTTTTTTTTTTAACATATATAACATAACATATATTTTATTAGTCTTAAGCACATTAACAGCTCATCGACATTTACATACAATATGACAGTTGTACATATAAGGCACATGTGTGTTTGCATAGAAAATGAAGGCACTGTTAACATAATAAGATTAATTCACCTTTATAGTAAATAATTCTTAGAAATAAGAATGTAGCGATACTTCAATGTTAAAATATTCTATTTGATTTTTGTCTCAACATTGTATTCCTGCCAAAGAGGAAGTCTGTGTCTGTATGACAATGTTTCAACCATTCAGGCAGTCAAGAAAATATCAACAAGTAAATATATTATACCATGAGGAAACTGTATCCAATCCAGAGACCAGTCCATCCAATAGGACAGTCTGGAATTCTCATTGTCTGACTGTGTACAGCTATTATCTGAAAAAGAGTTAGAAATAATGAAAATCACTTAGAATCAGTCTGGCATTCTCATTGTCTGACTGTGTATAGCTATTATCTGGAAACACAGCAAGTAATAATGAAAATCACTTAGAACAAGTCTGGAACTTTTATTGACTGTGTTCATTTGTGTTTTTTTTAAGGATTATTTATAGCACCTCTATCAAGTCTGTAATTTCCAATCTTTTGAATGTAATCCTGAGCTTTTCCTTTTTGATGATTACAATGGGCAATTTCTATGGTTCCTAACACTATATTAGTATTTTTAAGGCATTTTTTTATATGATCAGTGACATTTATAAGAAAAAATTCCAAAATACTTTGATCAAACTGTTAACCTATCAATTAATGTCAAATGTTTTTACCTCGGACGGAGCTTCACAGACCACACATCTGCTGATATACGGCTCAATCTGAGCGCCCTCTACAGGGTCCATCATGGCCGTCATTGGCTCGGGCGTGGACAACCAGTAGCTGTAATCACCCCGCCATGCCACATTACAAACGTTGTTGATGTTACAGAACATGAATGGCATAGTGCTAAACTTACGCAGACAACTTCCGGGCTGACCTAGAAAAACAAAAATAAACAAATTTGTATCAAAATTCATTACCTTTTCCATTTTTAAATCCCTTCATAAATTACTTAAGGATCTGGTCATCTTAAAGCACAGAGTTTGATGCTAAAACAATATTAAAATATAACAAGTAATAATATTAAAATATAACAAGTAATAATATTAAAATATAACAAGTAATAATGTGAATATGAAAGATGATTTAAATTTTATGAAAGACAAAAATTATTCTAACATACTTCTAGCAGTTTATAACAGTCAATCAATGATTGGGTAAAGCTATCAAGCATAATTATAATTGCATTATTTATACGCTGATTGAGCTTTTGATGTATAAATGTTTCAAAAACAAAAACCTTTATAAAAGTGAAGTCAAGTCTTAGTAACAACTGGTAATATCTAAACACAAAAATTGCCTCTTAATTTTTCCAATAAAAGTAATAATATTATAAATAGTTTTAAACATCTTATTTTTTTTAATTCTCATTTTCATCTGACATTCTTTTTTGGTGGCTCATTAAAAGAAAACAACAATTTTCAGGATTATAATTACTAACAAATTCATCATAAGTAGGTATGTTAAGATGGTAGCTATTTAGGAGAATAATGGAGTATGATTATCACATGCAAATATAATACTATAAGGGAGGTCATGCTCTTTGTTATAAAAATTATAATATATAATATTGACTCTTAAGTCAAATCAGCTAGTGAAAAGGAAGAAAAAAGGTAAGTTTTACTCTAAGTAATATTTATCTCTACGGAACAAACCATCAAGGTCTCTGACTTTGAAGCACTTGCAGCCCGCACCCCTCCACACACACACACACTGCTATGGGTTCAAATCCCACCAGGAAGTTTGGGAAGAGGCTATCCAGCTAGCTTACAGAAGGTAAATGATGTAACGTCAAAATATTTGCACAGCTAAGCAATACCATTTTTCCAGTCGCAGAAGCGGCTAGGGTATGTGATAAATTCTGATATAAAATGTTTCACTTTTAATTAAATTATGACGAAATTTCTTCTTTCATGATAAAAACATACCCACTTAAACCCTGCTCTGCCAACCCCACCCCAAAATAAAATCTAAACAATACCTATAAAACCATTCAATGATTAAAAATGTTTTGTTTTAAATGAAAGAATGAAATGTAATTAACACAGTACATATAACACATGTATGATCACTGACATCTTTCACGAATATACCTAATTCCTGACCATGAGTCTTTCCGTTACCCTGAACATAGGCAAGAGAATAGCCGTCCCACATCCTGACTGTCCCCTGTGGACATCTCGGCTGGTAACGATTCTGACTATGTCTGTAAACACAGCATACAGTAATATATTGTGTACAAATATTGCACACGTGTAATACTACATAGTGTAAAAATATTGCATGCAAGTCTTACACAACGTGTTATGTTAGAATTATTGCATTCATAATTACACTGATCATGCCTTTATTACACACTATGCATTACAATGTCAAGACATTATTACTACATGTAATTGGATTGTAACATTGGAATATTTTCTTTCTTAATCCTAACAATATATCCAAAACATTAGCCCTGGAGAAGCTCCACAGTCTCTCTTAACCTACCAGATAGCACATAATTTAATGTTACAAGTTGCAGAAAATCATCAAAATCAACAATCCAGTAATATATTGTGATATTGTGATACCACTAATCAAAGTTCTAGAATATTTCTTGCAACAAATTGTGAAACTAAATACAGCTTTTCTACCAGCTGTGATGTTTTTGAAA